CCTACATGCAGTAGAAGCAGCAGCCTCAGTCAGAATCACACTTTCGGCTCTAAGATCTGACTGTGTTCACTGTGTGCAGGTGTTTTATTTGCTATAATTTAGTTTTAGGACATTTTCATGTTTCGATGCATCGATCTGAACTGAGCATGCTGAATTTATATTCATGTCCTCTTGCGCTAGGCAGGTGTAGTATTTCTTTTTCTATGCTTTTAAATAATTGAAAGGATTTTTATGTGAACTGCTAGATTTTCAGTTGGTCTTTCAAATGTCTCCATACAAGGACGCTGGATTGGAAAAAGACCAGAGTTGTTTTTAAATGAACTGTCAGTTGTATTTTTATAACTTTTAAAGAGAATGGATGCGTGTTCCTGATTAAACCTCAGAAAACCTTTATTCTTGTTTCTAAACTTTTTGCAGTAACAAACGTTGAGATAATGCTAATTTCTTTTTTAAGTTTAGTCCTGGTTGGATTCAAAGTGTGATCTTCAAACACAAGCGGGACATGTCAGTCACGTACTGTGATATAATTCTAGTCATCATAGCTGAACCTTGTCCAGCATTCGGGGTTTAACCTGCCCAGTGTCATGTGTAAGTTACCGTAGGCAGCATTTATGCAAACAGTATGTATATGAAGCTCTTAGACTAAGAGTCTGATTCCTGTTTGATGGAAAAGATTTGTGGCTTTCATAACAACATTAATAAATTAGGTATATGCCAACATGTTTCATGAAAATGAAATTACAGCAGCTCACTTTGTCTCCAATCCAATAACTCACTAATCCAGCCTTCATGCTCTCGCCGGCTTCTTAGTTTATATTGTAATCATTCATCCATTTACACAGTGCTGAGCTGGGCTGGATTAGGTGGGGCTACAATTATATAGTGAATACAAGTAATTCTGTAAACGATTTCCCCTTAAAACTACTCAAGAGAACAATCATGAGCCACATTTACACAGACTGATGATTCTGACATTGTTTTAATACAATTTGATTTTTCACCATTTTAATGTCGGCCTAGTATTTACCTGCTTTGACACTTGAACTTTTATTGAATTATAATATTTGCATTATGAATGCAGTATGAGTGTACCCCACTATAAGCCTTAATGGAGGGTTTTGAGTTTGAACGGCGGTCAGAATTTAAGTCAGCACTTTGTCCAGGCCGCTCCAAAACCATCGTTTTGTTCACTTTTCCCCTTTTTAAAGGGGACTGGTGTGTTTTAGATCATCATTCTGCTCCATAACCTGAAACCCTGAAGGCCGAACATCATTTCATGCTTCAGGGCACAAACTGACATCCGACATCCTCTTTTGGGGTTTTCTGGTAGAGAGCAGAACTCATTGTTCCATCAATTTGCAAATTCGTGGTTCCAGCAAGTCATCGATCCTGAAGCAGCAGAGCAGCCCCAGACCATCACGCTGCAGCCATGTTCGACTGTTGGTAAGGTTTCATTTTTATGAAACGTGTCGGCTCCCAAAGTTGACACCAACAAACACTAACACATCCCTGATGGATGGGACAGAGTTACATTTCTGAATCAGACTCCTGAGACTTTTTAGCTCTTTCTCACTCTGAAGTCTATGAATGCCATTTTGTCCCAGTCTGTTTCTCCCTGTTGAATCATGAACACTTAGCTGAGGTAAGTGAGGCCTGAGGTTCTTTTCATGTAGTTCTGGTTCTTTTATCGCCTCCTGGACACGTCAGCGACACAGGCTTGGAGTCATCTTGTAGGCCGGTCACTCCCGGGAAGACAGCCGCTCTGCTAAGTTCGTTGATAATAGTTGTCGCTGGAGACTTGGACATGATATCGATGATTTTGTTTCTGATCCGTTTGTGAGTTTCTTTAGATCACAACATAAAGTGTTGCTTTGAGATGTCTTAGCCTTCACTTAACCCAACTTCACTTAGCCCGGTTTAAGTGATTTGTTGTTCATCAGTTCTGGCAGTAATCAGGCCTGCGTGTTAATTTATGATTTAAAAATGGACTATTCCTTTTTCACTTTGGACCGCAGGTTTGGTAACTTTGTTCCTCTTAATAAATGAAATTGTCCTTCAACAGAAGGACAGGACTTTTGTTTTACTTGGCTTATTGTTGCCTAATATGAAAATGTGTTTGAAGATCTGAAAAGTGTTACATATATGCAAAAAAAGAAGAACAGGAAAACCTTTTTTATCAGTCGTAAATTTTTGCTTTGCATCAAAAAAAGAGAATCTTTGACTTTAAAGCTGAATTGAACAAGTTTAAATTATGTTTCTCAGCATTCCAGAGACACTTTTCCTCCTGCCGGGTGGAGCCATTAGCTCTGCCCGAGGCAGGATAACACTTGGGACAAAAATGAACTCAAAGCGGGAGAACACAGGGGATCATGTGATATGGGAGGATGAATTTTGGGGGCTGGGAAGGCAGGACAGGGTGTCCTCTATTGTCCCCAGAATTATTTAGAGCTCGATTATTTACTTTCTTATCTTTACCCTCTTTAAAAATTCACTTTCCTTAGTCTCTTCCTTCCTTTAGACTCGTCTTTCCTCCTCCCCCACGTCTTTCCACAGAAAAAGCGAGTGGATGGCCCGTTCGTAATTGGCCGTTTCAGAAGCACATTGTCCGTGGCTTTTCAAGTCGCAGGTGCATATAGTAAACCCAGAGTCCCCGCTCCTCCCCTGGGCGTCTTTGTTCCCACTCCCCGCTTTCCTCACTCCCCCACCGAGCAGAAAATTAGGGTTGCTTTTTAGGACTTAGTCCACAGGCTTAACCCTTTCACCGAGCAGCGCCTTTCTCATGGAAATGGGAGGGAATCACGCACTGGCTAATCGGTCACTGAGGGGAGGGGATAGGATCCTGAGGAAAGGGAGAAAAGATGAGCGCACCGAGACCAACAACAGGAGGGGCATAACAACATAGAGCACATATAAGAGACTGCAAAAACCTATAGCTTCTCAGCCCTTCAACATGACATATTTTAGGGTGACACACATCTCTATATCCATCCATCTCTTGGAAGGCGATATGGACCCTCCAAGGATGTGGACCTTTAACACTTTCCCACAACACTCTTGATTCTTAAAATGTAAAACGGGGATCTTTTAGGGAGTAGCTATAAAAAATATAAAAACCAAGAACAGCAAAACATGTGGCATGACAACAGAAGTAGCACGGGAACAATCGTTGACCATTTGTTCTAAGTGGGAGACGTTGAAGCACACACGTTGGTGTTTTTGCTGAGGTCCATGGGACCATGCGAGGATAGGAATTGGATAGAAGGGGGAGAAAGAGTAGTGTGGGAGGAGGAGGAGGTGGAGGGAGTGTCAATGGAAGGATTTTCTGGTCCAGTACATCTCCTCACCTAGCAACAAGCAATGAGGCTTCAAAAAGTGGTTGCCATGGATATGCCAAGAGTGACTTAAAAGTCTTTACAAAGAGCTGCAGTCATTCTCTGTTTGTGTGAGTGTTGTGTGTGAGCATCAGGTGGTGGTTACCAACAGAGCTTTAAAGTGTGATTCAGTGTTTACATTCAAGATTCAATTTAGTTTTATTTAAATGACAACAAATCACAACAACAACAACTCTTTATTTTGTAAGGTAAAGACCCAAAAACCTGAGATCCACAAACTCTTTGCAGGACGTGGACGTTCTTCAAAGTTAACCGGCGAGTAAATATGCACACGTTCAGCTCTCAGTCTCTGGTTTCTGCATCACTTCACTGAACTTATAAGAAAACAGGAAAAGAATATGTACACACACACACACACACACAAGCCCGTTCAGCTATCTTAGTGAGGACCTTCATTGACATAATGGTTTCCCTAGCCCCTTACCCTAATCTTAACCATTAAAAATGAATGCCTCACCCTTACTCTAAACCTGACCATAACCTAATTGTAACCCTGACACTAAAACCACATTTTGAGCCTCAAAAAGGCTTCAAACTTGTGAGGACCG